TGCTCAGGGCAAAAAGGGTGGAGGTATCTCTGGTACCTGTTTGATTTTTTTTTAATCAATTAATTTCATCCAGCTACCCATTTAGTGCTCTATTCATTCAACCTTCCAACACGCATTTTGTTGGCACTGATATAAAAGTGGGACATATTTTAAGCATTTGAGAAGATATTCAAAATGTTTCATATTCTAGATTTGCAGAACTGTAGGAGTCACCCACATAATCCAACATTCCATTTGTGTATGCCTAGCATTATTATTACAGGAAGACCTTAATGAAGTCCACTTGTTAGTATCTCTACGCATTTAACATTTTTTCAAGGACTATGCTAAATGCTTACACGTGTTATTTACTATGTCACAGCCACTCTCCTTGCTTATTTATACTATAAATAAACAAGAAAAATAGACAGTAAGAACTTCAGGTCCTAGTCCTTGTGAATAGCAAGGCCTCTGCTCTGGACAAAGAAATAAGAGTAGGAGTTGCCTTGCTTGCTGCACTCCTTTTACAGAGAATAACATCTACCTCACAGTACTTCTGTAAGATTAAATAAATGTACACCATCATTACATATTCACAGTATCTGTATAAGATTAAGTAAAGGCACACAGCTATTCATGTTTATAATGTGACAGGGTCCTAAATGTTGACTCCTGGCATGAACTGGCAATGTCTTTTGGAAACGCCTCATTGATACTAATCTAAAAATCCTTTCCAGGCTCGCACGATGACACAATTGGCTAATCCTCCCCTTACAAGCACTGGGATCCCATATGGGTGCCAGTTCATGTCCCAGGTCCTCCACTTTCCATCCAGCTCCCTGATTGTGGCCTGAGAAAGCAGAGGAGGATGGCCCAAAGCCTGGGGACCCTGCACCCACATAGGAGACCTGGAAGAAGCTCCTGGCTCCTGGCTTCAGCTCTGGCCACTGAAGCCATTTGGGGAGTGAATCAGTGAATGAAAGATCTTTATCTCTCCTTCTCTCTATAAATTTGCCTTTCTAATAAAAGAAAATTTTAAACATACTGTCTTTAAATGTAAGGGATGGCGAGACTAGAAGGTTTGACGCTCTCTGCACCGAGCATTGAGGTTCCTGTAAGTCTTGACTGGAAAGGCCCAGACTATCTCATCATGCCAGATGGAGATGACTTCCTATCTCTTTCTTTCCTCTCTCCATGAACAATTTGAAGGATGTAAAACCTCACAGCCAGCCTGTGTTTTCCCTGCTTCCTTTTCAAATTTCTCATTTTGTATCTCAGAAGGTCCCTTGTAAGTTCCTCCAGTGTGGGCAGATACGGGCTGCTATGTCCAACACTGAATTGCTGTTAGAAGACAGAGAAAGAGATCCAAACCATCTGAGATAGTTCCAAACTCCAGCGCTGGAACTGCTGGGCCAGCATTTGAAAGCTTCCTGCTCTGCACATGGAATATGCTTGTAACGGCACCTGCCAGCCAATTATGAGTAAGTTTCTGAAACAGGAAGCTCTCTACCGAGAAAACTCATGGAAAATATATGTCACCACTGATTCCTCACTGAGTCTCCTAACATCAAGTTATTTTCCCCCACACTTACTAAATGCTTTCTGTGTGCTAGATTCTAGAAATATAAGGGTAAATGGAATGCCACATACACATCTCAAGGGCTCAGCTTGAGGAGACAGACAGATGTGTAGGTAATCACAAACAAGACAGTAGGTACAAAGAGAGAGAATTCCTTCTGGATGAAGGGAAACCTCAGGAGTCTTACAGTACGGGGAGGAAGGAAAGGACCATATAGGAGCAGTGAAGAAAAGGCATGTGCAATGGAGAGAATCAACATGAGCACAGAAACAAACCTGATAAACTGCAGGTCATGAGCTGATCTCCAGGTAGCTGGAGAATCAGATGTGAAGGTGGTGGGTGGATGCTTGGCCAGGCAGTTGAGGCTTCGTTTAAGATGCATATGTCCAGCCTTGGAGTAGCTGGCTATGCTATCCAGCTCCATTCCTGATACCAGCTCCTCATTATTGGGCAGCTGGAAGGCAGCAGGTGATGGCTCAAGTAGTTGGGTCCCTGTAACTCCCATGGGAGACTTCTCTCTCTCCCTCTCTCTCTCTGTCTCTTGTGCTCTGTGTGTGTGTGTGTGTGTGTGTGTGTGTGTTCCTCTACCTCTCAAATAATTGTTTTGTTTTGATGTGGCAAGATGAGAAACAAGGCTGGAGTTGGAAACAGATGCCAGGCCTTGAAGAGCCATTTTTCAGTTTGAACTTCCTCCTGTAAGCACTGGCCAGTTGACACTTTGAAGGCTTTAAGAGTGACTGCTTCTGTGATCGTAGGTTTAGAAGCGTTTTTTAAAAGGAAATTACAGGATGTTCTCAAAAGATGCTGTGTTGGGCTTTGAAATCCCGGCCTTGGTGCAACCCTGCCTGACTCATTGTTGGAAACGAGTTCTGAACACCTTTGTTCACATGCTCCTCCTTCCACTGTCATTGCAACCCCCCCTTGGTAAGGTAATGGTGGCCTTACAAAAACGTGATGTAGGCACAAGGTGACTCAACATCCCAAACAGTTTGGAAGCAGTCAGAAGTACACACTGAGCCCTGAGCATCCTTCTGCAGCAGGAATTAGCGTGATGCAGATTTCTGGAGGCAGGCGGGAGGAGGGCTCATGTCTGCTGCAGTGCGCATCCGATAAAGCTGCTTTCCCTTCTAAGGATCCCTGGCTCCCTGAAACAGGGGGTGGGGCAGGGAGCTCAGCTATTATGCAGAGGAAAGTATCCTGCAATGCACAGCCACAGTGGCCAGGCAGAGGCTTGGTGAGGCCTCTGGTAATTTTCAAAGCTGCTGTAGGTCTCTCTCAAAGTGCCATCTGAAATGATTTGCCTCTCCCTACCCACTCCCATTCCTCAGTACTCCACCTGGGGTCTCCACTGCTTTCCTGATTCTCCACTTCCCCTCTCTGCCAAGCAATGCTCCCTTACAGCTCCTTCAGTAACTGAGCAAATGGCTCTGCCTCCCTAAGCCTTCCTCGATGACTGCTTCCTACTGGTTCCTCCCTTCCATTACTGCCCTTTATTCTGCACACTTAGTCAGCTATAATCTAGTCATATTAATTTACCTGTCCCAACCACTGCCCATGCACTCATCCCTGAATCTGTTGTGCATGTCTCACTGGTGATGTTCACTCTGCTAGATATCACTTCATCTCCCTTCTCAACTCTGTCTTCTACTTCCGGGCACAGCAAACACATCATCCCGACCAGAGGTTCGTCCCTACCACTTCCAATGCAAATGAAATCCTATAGGATTTGTGTACACTTACTGCATTATGGTTGTGGTTGGGTTTTTTGCATTTGTGACCTTTTTGTTTGTTTTGCTTATGTCATAACAGCTTGTACTTCTGTGTCAGGCACCTCTCTTAAAAATTTTGTAATAGTGACACATTTAATCCTAACAACGAATCCATGCCATTGTCTCTGGGCTAATCTGCCCTAGTTTACAAAGTCAGTGGAGGCTCTGGGATTTGAATCCACACAGTGTAATGTGGATCTGGTGCTAGGACACCTCTCCACTGGCAGGCCAGGACGTCCTGGGATTCTGCAGCCACACTCAGTTTTATCGGAGACCTAAATCTTTGGCATAGGGCAGGCAGTTGCTGAATATGCTTGGAAGCTAACTAGAACTGGTTTCACATGCATTGTGACTTCCTCACACTTTCGTCCTTCTCCTCAAGCAGTCCCATGTGATTCTTAAGGAGCGAGGTCCAGGTCATTTACTTTCTCTAGGCTCATAATCACCGTGCATAAAATGAGGAGCTGGAGTGTACTGCAAGGGGAAAAATAATTTCAGATTAAAATGCGGCTGAGTATGCCTGATTTATGATCAGCTTCCCGTGCCAGATCTAACCATTCTGACATCAGCAGGTAGGGTGTGTAATGGATGTGGGCAGGGCAAAGAAATGGTGCAATTGCTGGACAACTAGCCAAGATCCCAGATCTAGAAATATGATAAGGTGATTACAGCCATAAGTCTGAAGGAAGACCCAACTGCCAGTCTGGTGTGATCTTGATCAGCAATGGGCATCAGGAACAAGAGTGGTCAGGCAGCTGTGGGCAGACTGTAGGAGGTAGCAGAGGGCCTGGCTGGGCAGAGGTGAGCCAGGATGTTAAGAGTAATGCAACAGGCTCAGCAGGGCCTCCTGTAGGAGGAGTGTTTGATCAGCATCACCCGGCAGGACAGAACGCCATGAGAAGTGACTGCATTGGCAAGTGGTCTGATAATACAGATATCCATATGAAGCATCAAGAAAAACTGGTTTGACCTCCCCATTACTGGAAGGTAGTCAATGTTTCTCTACCACTTAACAACTAGCCCGCTGCATTCTGCCATCTATGCCTTACTATTCTATTCTAGCTCAGCACAACTACACAACCAATTACTGGCTGCCATGTGCAGAGGGAAGGACTTCCACAGTCGGCTTAGCTCTGCAGGAGGGAAGCCTTCTCCAACAGAAAGGACATCCACTTCCCAGCCAAAAGACCTACCCCATCCCAGTAATTGGGCGCTCTTCTGCGAGTGTCTTAGCCCCACGCGCCCCCATCAGCAACCTCGACCTCCTCCTTTTCTGTAGTAGACAGAACGTTCACCTGCTTACTCATTATGACAGTGACGTGTCTACCCAGGCCTATGGACGACCAGCCTGGGTTTCCCGCGGATCTCAATGGTCTCTGAGTCTCTTTCACGTTCCTCACTACTCAGGAAACTGCGGCTGTCTGCGCCCAAAGGAGGGAGCACGCCAGCCTCTGGCACCTCCCTCGCCAGCGGCTTCAGGGAAGGCTTGCACGTTGCCAAGCTCTTCCCGCAGCTCGGGCAGGGTGTGAGGCAGACTGCAGCTCCCGGGGCGCGGCGTGCGTCCCATGGCACCCAAGGCGTGGGAGACTGGTTTTCCCAAGCATTTCTCGGAGGCGACCCCAGGGGCCCGGCAAGCGCTTGCAGCCAGGCTCGGGGGCCACCACCTCGCTTACCTGCGGCTCCAGCAGCCAGCCGGGCTCGGCGCCACCCTGTGCCGGGCGGGCGGCGCGGAACGCCGAGTACACGGGGATGCGGTCCCGGGGGCTGTACAGGGTGGCGAAGCGCTCGGCGCCCCCCGCGCGCTGACAGATCTTCACGTGGGACTCGGTCGCCAGCCCCGCGGGCGGGGTCGCGGCGTAGAAGAACTTGTCACATTCGCCAAAGCCACCTTGGTCCTGGCCCACGAGCCGGCCTTCCAGGAGCCCGGCCAGGGCGAGGAGGCTGCCCAGAAGCAGCCAGCGCGCTGGGCCCATGGCGGCCTCTGCGAGCGCGGCGGGGCGGCCGCGGCGCGGGTTGTACGGGCTGGGCGGGGAGCGCGCGATGCAGCCCGGCTCGGCGGCGAGGGGAAGTCGGAACCCAGGCGCGGCGCCCGGCCAGCCGGGCGGGGCGGCCCTGGCGGCGGGGGCGGTCCGCGCACCGAGGCCGCGCCTCTCCCGCCCTTCCTCCCTGGCTGAAGATGGCTGCAGAGGCCCGGGACCCGGGCTGCAGGATGCGGCCGCCTCGACCCTGGAGGCGCAGGTCACCTGCCGTCGCGCCCCTGCTCTCCGCCTCCCCGGGGACGCGCACCGCAAAAAATGACAGCCCCGAGCCCGACTGGGCTAGTCCGAGTGGCTGGGAGGGGACGGTCGCAGGGACTGGGCGCCAAGTTTCCTGGTCTAGCGCGCCTCAGAAACCCTCAGGGATGCGCAGGGACCACGTTAAAGGGTTCCTCAGGATGCTTTGTCGCTAACGCCTTACGAAAGCTGATGTTTGTTTGTTTGATTGATTTTAAACTAATCAAAAGCCCTGAGATCCAAGTTAGGAAATCCCTTTAACGGAAGTTCCTGAATTAGCCCTGCTGTGTGTCTGCTTGGTGCAAAGGATTAGAAGCAAAACTAACACTCAGAAAGAGAAACTAACTAGCATCACTGGTAGTTCGGTGAGGGGACTTGTGTCTACAGTACTCTGTGAATGCCCATGTGCCAGCCCGGGCCCCGTGCTATAAAGGTTATGACAGGTCAACAGTGACAGCCCACTCTGCCAGTTCATTCTGAATCAAAGAAGCATGCAATTACACGAGTAATTAAACACCGTCCTCCACACTGCTGTGAGAATTTGGCCCCTGTGAGGCTGAGAAGGCTTCCCTCCGACAGCGGCAGTTAAGCTGAGCCCCGGAGGATGCACTGCCATCGAACAGGGAGAACTAACTATAGATTCTTCCCCATAGAATGGAAAGAGATCTGCCAGAGGAATTTAAGGGATGCTTCTGCTGTGACCCAACAGTGGGGAGCTAGGGAAGGGGAGGAGGTTATGGGAAAGGGAAGCAGGAGGCAGGGATTCCATCACCCAGGGACTTACACCCAGGGATCTTCAAATGTTTTTGGACAAGACCCATAATGAAAATCCAGTTTCACGCGATAGCACTTAGGCCTACAATTGGCCTTGCCATCTCTCACTTTTGGCCTACTTTCTTCCATCTAAAAAAAAAATACTGATGAAACCCTGTAACTTGTGTCTGTAACTCACCACTAGCTCATGACTTGTATCTTGGAAAGCGTGGTACAGACAATATTGAGGGTTTTGATCTTTTTTTTTTTTTAAGATTTATTTTGTTGTATTTTTATTGGAAAGTCAGATATACAGACAGGAGGAGAGACAGAGAGCAAGATCTTCTGTCTGTTGATTCATTCCCCAAGTGGCTGCAACTGCCAAAGCTGAGCCGATCCAAAGCCAGGAGCCCAGAGTCTCCTCTGAGCCTCTGGAGGAGGAGGGTGCAGGGTCCCAAGGTCATGGGCTGTCCTGGTCGGCTTTCCCAGGCCACAGACAGGAAGATGGATGGGAAGCAGGACTGCCAGGATTAGAACCGGCACCCATATTGGATCATGGTGCACTCAAGACAAGGACTGTAGCAATTAGGCTACCACGCTGGGCCCAAGGATTTTGATCTCTCAGCGGCAGTGACACTATCAAGTCAAGCCGGGTTGGATCGCAACACATGCCAGTTCACATGGAGGCCAGCTGGGCTGTGTTAGGCTGTAACCCCCACCAGCATCAGCTGCAATTGGGGGTGGGCTGTGCCTGGCCAGACTTATAGCACCCATTTGCAAATGCCGAGGTGAGGCGGACCATGCCAGACAGGAACGCAGCACTCAACCAGCACACATGAGACCTTGGAGGGGGTAGGGGGTAAAGCCAATAGCGGGGCTACATATGGCTCCCCTGCTGGACACCACTCCCACTAGTGAGCATGAGAGTTAGGATGGGGGCAGACCAGGCCGGTCAGGGCTACATCACCTGTTGGGCTCATGTGAGCTGGGTCAGGGGGAAGCCAGACTAGGTTGACTATTCCTACTGATACATGCGCAAGTCAGAGTGGGATGGGTTTGTTTGGGCTTTGCCACAATATCAGCTGGCAGATGCTGGCACAGAGGGGTAACTCTGTCAGGGGTGGGTAACACAGTCCAGAACCACCTGGAGAGTGCAGGCTCTGGGAGTGGGATTGGGTTCAGTAGGGAAACAGTGAACACTTTCCTCCACAGCCACTTCAACTAGTGAGTATGAGAACCAGGATTGGGGCAGGCACGGCTGGACAGAGAGAGGCACCCAGCAGCACATGTGTGGGCTGGATAGTGAGGCTGGTTGGGTTGAATTGGGCTTCAAGGCCCATTGACATGTATGAGAGCTGAATGGGATGTGGGACAGGCTGGACCAGTCTGTTGGACATACTGGCAAACACAGAAACCAGGGCAGGGGCAGGCCTGGTGGGGGTTATTATGGATCACTCCGACTAGGCTGCAGCTCCCACTGGTTCTGCATGAAGGTCGAGTGTGTGGTGGGCACGATTGTGCTGGGTGCAACACCGTTGACTTATATAAAGACAGGGATGGAGGAGAACTGACTCAGCCATTGCAACCACCAGCATGTGCATAAGCTGATGGGGTGATGGACTGTGCTGGACCCTGTATTGATAAGCACACACAAGAGTCAGATCTGGGATCACCTCAGATGAAGTTTCTTTGAGGATTCCCCCAGCTGAATTGCTGGTCTCAGACCCCAATCATGGAGAGAAATGCAGGTTCCATGGTCTGACCATGGAGTGCATATATCAGAGCCGGGCCTCCTCAGTGGCTCAGACGGAGCAGTGGACGGCATGTCTGGGTGCACAAGGAGGATATGGCAGCACATTGGAGTCTGCAGAGGACACACGGTATCACAGCAGAGGATGGAGGACAGAACAAACTAATCAACCTCCCCAGCCAAGTGTTGGCACTGAGTATGTGGGCAAATGGAGACTCTAAGGTGGACTATAACAGCCAGTGGATTCTGGAGAGATTTTGTTGTGCTTGGAGTGGCGAGATCAGCAGCAATTCAGAACTGGTGAATTATTGAAACCTCTTGAGCAGAACTCTAGGAACATGCCCCACTTTGGGGACCCTGGAGTGGTATTGGTTGACTGTCTTCATCCCAGGATATGGAGGGGGTTAGAAGGCTGGGTGTAGCTTCTTCCGTTACCTCCCTCCTTCCCCCACATACAGGAAGGAAAAAGTGAATGTGAATATGATGATCTCACGCACCTTTCTTGTAGCCCTTGGCCCTTATCACCCTAATCAACTATGTAAAAGCAAATAATAATAATAATAATAATAATAATAATTTAAGAAATACCTCTGAGACCAGCACTGTGGTATAGCAAGCTAAGCCTCCAACTGTGGCACTCATATGGGCTATAGCTCAAGTCCTGTCTGTGTCACTTCCTATCCAAGTCTCTGCTAATGGCCTGAGAAAGCAGTAGAGGATCGCCCACATATTTATATTCCTGTACTCAAATGGGAGACCTGGAAAAAAGCTACTACCTCATATCTTTAGACCAGGTCAGCTCTGGCCTTTGCAGCCATTTGGGGAATGAACCAACGAATGGAAGAACTCTCTCCGAATCTCTGCTCTCTTTCTCTCTCTTCCTATCTTTCTCTCCCTCTCTGTAACTCTTTTAACTAAAATGATTATTTTTTTTTAAAAAAGAAATCAAACAAGTCTTCTGTATTTCTTGTTAAAAAGGAATTCCAGGGCCCAGCACAATAACCTAGCAGCTAACGCCCTCACTTTGCACACACCAGGATCCCATATGGGTGCCGGTTTTAATCCCGGTGACCCTGCTTCCCATCCATCTTCATGCTTGTGACCTGGCAAAGCAGTTGAGGACAGCCCAAGACCTTGGGACCCTGTACCCATATGGGAAGCCTGAAGGAGGGTCTGGGCTCCTTGCTTCATATTGGTGCAGCTCCAGCTGTTGTGGCTGCTTAGGAAGTTAATCAATGGACAGAGATCTCCCTTTCTGTCTCTTCTCTCTGTATATCTGACTTTCCAAATTAAAAAAAAAAAATCCCAACCGATTCATCTAGGAAAGCATCTGAGAATGGCCTGGGAACTGGACCTCCATGGAGGACGTGAATGGAGTCTCTGGCTCCTGGCTTCAGGCTCCTCTAGCCCCAACCCTGTGGCCATTTGGGCTTGGAAGATCTCTCTCTCTCTTGCTTTCTTCCCTTCTCTCTCTCTGTCACTCTTGGCTTTCAAATAAATAAAATAAATCTTCTATTAATGATGGAAATGGTAAGCTTTTTAAAAAAGTTCTGTTTATTTGAATAGCAGAGTGATAGAGTGGGAAAGAAAGAGAGAGGGGTCTTGCACTCTGATGATTCACTCTCAAATGGCTGTAACAGCTGGGGCTGGGCCAGGTCAAAGCTGAGAGCCTGAGACACCACCTGGGGCTCCCATGTGGGTGGCAAGGGCTTAAAAGTATTATCAGGGAATTTTAAATGTCATGGAAGCACTGCATATGTGAACACACACACACACACACACACACACACACACCTTCCTCTCTTCCCCAATGGTCCACACTAGATGTCACCTCCCCTATAGAACTAGTGAGCACTTCTGTGATGTTCCATCTTCTCTTGAATATTTTCCCAAATGTTTGGGGGTAACTCCAGACAAGATAAAGTTTCATGCCTCATGCAGCCAAATATCTGAAATAATTTTACTGTAATTTTTATTTGGTTAAAAGTATGCAATCTAGAATTAGACTTACCGGGTTTGCCTCCTGGCCATGTTTTTAGACCAGTTGTTTTGCTTCTTTTTTTTTCCAAAACTTATTTACTTACTTGATAGATTGAGAGAGAGAATCTGCTGTTTCACTCCCCACATGGCCACAATAGCTCAGGCTGCACTAGTGTGAAACCAGGAGTCAGAAGCTTCTTCTAGATCTTTCATGCGAGTGCATAGACTCAAGCACTCGGGTCTTCTTCTACTGTTTCCCCAGATGTATTAGCAGAGAGTTAGAATGAATGTAGAGCAGCCAGGACTCAAACCCATGCCCATGTGGGATGCCAGCACCATAGGTAGAGGGTTTACCAGCTACACTATGGTGCCAGCCCCAGTTTAACTACTCTCGTCTCAGTATTCTCCATTATAAAACAAGGCTAAAGATAGAATCTTAACTGCTGGTATTAAACATTTAATGCATTAATATATTTCATAATATATTGTCTAGTCTGTGACACACGCTACTGCTTTAGCAAATTCAATATTGAGATATATTTTACAGCTGATAATGTGACAAAGCTCAGTTGTCTCAATGGTACCTAAAATAGCAGCGCATCTTATGATTGGTGAGATCTTAGATGGGATGGAATTTAGCCTACAAGGAGCTAAGAAAAGTGCCTACAACATAGAAAGCACAATGTCAGTACTTGACAGATAAGCATAAAATATAGATACCATTCTCTAACCTCATCAGAGCAGATCAATATAGATTTTTAAACAGCTGTGCAATATAACAATGGCAAACAGTGACATGATTGTCCCTGCCTTAGACTTCATCCCTGACATCTTTGTTGAAGTTTAAAGAATTCTGATAACTGTCTCTTTGTCCTGGCTAACATCTCAGAAAGATAGAGAGTTATTGAGACACAGTACCACAAACAGGTCAGTTATTTGATGTCTCTTTAGACCAACATTCTTTACCTAGATCTTTATTGGAGAGACTGAGAAGTCGAAGAGAATAGCAGAGAAGTAGGATTTCCAACTGCAGGGTTTAACAAATCGGCTGTGACTCCCAACGATGCATAAACCACAAAGCAAAACACAAAACACCACTGTTAACTGTATGCTCAGTCTCTTAGGCCTAACCACACTGCTTTAAGTCATTTACTTCAGTCCTCCTAAGAAGAGATCGCATAAATAAAAAAGGGAACCGCAAATAGCTCAAGTAAATAGAATTAAAAGGTAAGTTTGTTGTCGAAACAAACTGGAATTCATGCATGTGAGGTTTATCCAAAAGATTGGTCAAAAACATTTATTATAAAAAATGATGAACAGCAAAAAATTTTACACCCAGAACTGACAATTTCATCTTACATAAGCTTTCTGATGGGCACTATAGATTTTGAAAGAAAATCATCACATTTCCAGTGATACTTCAGTGGCCTTTGGAGACTAGCCACATGAGCAACTCCACACGTTAATTCAGCCCAACTTTTAGCCCACAAAAGGATTTGTTCATGTGTTAGTCATACAGATGAGTGAATGCTATGCTGGTACATCAGAAAAAAGGAATGAAAGAAACATCATTGGCATATTGCTTCTTGCTAATGACATATTTCATTTCAAAATACTTAAATATGTCACATTGGGAGCATAGAACATTTAGTTTTTTTAATTTTTATTTTTGAAATTTATTATACAATTTTGTATAGTCTGGGATTCCCCTCTCCCCATTTCCCACAGCCCGAATGGTTTTTCCCATAATGTCACAACTCTTCATGAGGAGTTACAATTCCATCTACAAGGAGCTAAGAAAAGTGCTGTCCTTGTCATTGCTGTCTGCTGTCTTACATTGTTCCAGCAATGCCAGGGCACACTCACACAGAAAGTTTAGTTTTAAATCTCTGCTTTTAGATTTTTTAAACTTCTCTGATTTTATGAATCTAAATATACATTATTTTTCTATGAATAAAGTTTAAAATCCTTTCAGGTTGAAAAAAGATAAACTTTTCTATGAAATTTTTAGCAATGAAAAGACAAATGAGAAAAACAGAAAATTTTGTATGTGGCATGATCATTATGTACAAATGAATGCACTGGGCAAAAGCCTGGGAAGAGTTGAATGATAGATTGTTTTTGTGGAATAGAACAATGACTCTAATCTGTGCTTCTCTGTGAGGTGAGACACCTCTTACAGGTGCATGATATGGAGCAGAATTAGGTGCAGAGGTTAAGATGGTACCTGGGTATGCCCACACTCCACGGCCGACTGCCTAGTTCCAGGTCCTGGCTCCATTGCCAATTCTAGCCTCCTACTGAGGCAGACCTTGGTAGCTGGGTTACTGCCAGCACCCCTGTGGGACACCTAGACTGAGTCCTGGGCACGCTCAGTTTCAGCTATGTCAGGCATTTGGATAGTGAACCTGCCAATTGAAGATCTCTTTCTGCCTCTGCATCTCTCTGTCTTTGCAAAACTTATGAAAAGACAAAAACATTTGATTTTTAAAAGCAAATTATACACCATTAAAGTTTGGAAGCCGCTATAAATTTAGCTAATTGTCAACTGTAGGACAAGCCTAGGCAGAACTGACTTGTCCCTGTGACTCCTAGATCACCAAAACAGTTACTCATTCTGTCTGTAGTACCCCGTGACAGTGAGGTTCTGACACAGTGTGTCTTCCAGATGCAAGCTGACTGCTCACCTGGCCTAGGATACTTAGGGAGATGTGCTGGGTCAATGAAAGAGATTCAGTCATTCTCACAAGGCTCTCCCAGTTAAAGTTAAGCAGCAGATCTCTTTCCTCCAGAGTCTGATGTAGACATAGGAGAAGTATAATCACTCATTCAGTAAATACCAAATAGACTTCCAGATGGGGACAGACACCAAGGGAACAGTTAATTTTAATCCAAGGGCAAAAAATCAGCAACACATTCTACAATCCAGTGCTGATAACAGATACAAGCTTCAAAGACATATTTATTTCCAAATGCTTTTTGCAGTTTCTTGAAGCTTGCACGAGGCATATACACATGCCAGGGCAGATCAATATTTCTGAATCAGCTCATGTAGCAAATGCTACAGCATTTGATGGCAGAAAAATTTGCGGTGCACATTGAAGAGGCTGAACTAGTCCTACTCCTGCTTGTTAATCCACATCTGCTATAAGGTGATCAGTGAGGGCAGAATGGAGCTATCAATACACACTGAGTACTTGTGCTGGGGTGAGGAAGTGGGTGGCACCATGATCTTGATCTTCATGGTGCCCGGGCACCAGAGTGGTGATTTCCTGTAATCTGTTGGCAATATTTGAGTATGAGGTGATGCCCCCAGACAGCACCATGTTGGCATGCAGGCTCTTGCAGATATCTGCTTTGTACTTCATTATGAAATTGAAGCTGGCTTTGTGGATCCACATGACTCTGTGCCCTGGAAGGGAGGCTAGAATAGTGCCTTAGGGCAATAGAATCACTTGTTTCTGGCAGTGGCTGTCCTCCAGGGATGAGGAGAATGCGGCCATGACCATCTCCTGATCTAAGTCCAGCTTCTCCTTGATGTCACTCATAATCAGCTCAGCTGTGTTGGTGAAGCTTGGTAAGGATCTTCACGAAGTTGCAGTCAGGTCATGCACCCTAGGTCCAGATGCAGGTTGGCATGGGAGAGGACATACCCCTTGTAAATGGGCATGGTGTAGGCCACACCATCACCAAAGGCTATCCAATGTCAATAATGTAGACCAGGGTATTTAGAGATAGCACTGCCTGGATGACCAGGTTCATGACCAGGGTGTTGAAGGTATGGAACATGATCTGGGTCATCTTCTCTCTGTTAGCCTTGGGGGTTGGGAGACATTAGTCAGCAGCATGGGCAGCTCCTCAGGGCCATACATGGTTTGTTGTAGAAAGTGTGTTTGCCAGATCTTCCCCATGTCCTCCCAGTTGGTGAAGATGCCGTCCTCAGCGGAATGCTTGAGGGTCAAGATGTTATGCTTTCTCTGGGCCTCCTTCTGGCCTTTTGGTCCATTTCCATGATAGAGGAGCACAGGGCATGGGAGAGGAGTGTGTCTTCCACCACAAAGCCAGCTTTGCATGTGTCAGAGCCATTATCAATCTCAGCACTCCCAGAAACTGTAATCTAAGCTTTCCATCAGACCATGTCTATTTTCAATTTAGACATGGAGACATTTCATTCAGAGAACCTCCTGCCTGACTGTCCATTTCATTGTAATGACTGCTGAGCTTAAGAAATGCAGTTTATTTTTTATCACTGGACAAAAAGGGAAAACATTTAAATTGTTTTTAGGCCTACACGTGCCTTTCTTCATCTTCAAGGAACAGTATGGGGCGTTATAAAAGAATTCCACAAGTTCAGGCACATGGAGAAAACATAGGTTTGGGTTATCAAGATTCTTTGGTTCAAATCTGAACTCTGCCATTTATAAACTGAGATGTTACTTTTGTTGTTGTTGTTGTTATTGTTACAGATGTATTTGAAAGGCAGAGTTGCAGAGAGAAGGAGAGACAGAGAGCTCTTTCATATGCTGGTTCACTCCCCAGATGGATGTAAGAACTGGAGCTGAGTCACAAGCAATGGCCACAGGTCTCCCAGACAGGTACAGGGGCCCAGATACTTGGGCCCATCTCCTGCTGCTTTTACAAGCACATTAGCAGGTAGCTGAATTGAAAGTGGCACAGTCAAGGCTTGAACTGGCACCTACATGGGAAATCAACACTATAGGCCTAGGCTTAATCTGCTATGCCATGGCTCATACCCCAGCTTTGTCACTCAGAAGTCCCTCATCTACAAAATGAAATAATTATATCTACCTCATATTATTGACATGAAATTAAATGAGTTAATGATTGCAGAAGATCTAACATATTGCCATCTATTATGTATGTCCTTTCTTCCATCTCTACAAGTAGGTGACTGTCATTTGGGAAAGAAATGCAAATTTGAACATCTGGAACTTTCAAGGCAAGTATTTTAAGAGTCTCTTTTACTTTCAGCAGGATTAAATAATTTATAAATTGACAAGATGCAGAGTTTATGTCATATAATCTAATTCCTATTGAATTCTATGCTTTAAAGTATGGAACTTTTCCGACACAACCCTCTGAGGCCAAAGTGTCCTTGATCCGTTGACTTTGAGCAATTATTGGGCAAAGCACTAGAACTACTGGGGGCAGAGAATGCTCATTAAGAACAATGTCTGCCTGTGGCGGTATGTAAGAGACAAGGAGACACATTCTGTACCTTGGTATATGACATTGACTTTCACAAGGTTTCAGGAAAGAAAAAAATACATTCCGTATTAGGAAGAGGGCATTGTGAAGACAAGGAAGGGGAAAAGAAAATCCGAGAGATTTTGGTTAGACTTAGAAGGCTTGTAGTTCATGACCTCCTTCTTGGGGTTTGTCTAAAAGACAAACAGAAGCAGAAAGGAGCAGGAAGAACCATGAGATTGACCACAGGCATGGAAATAGCTATCATTTGGGTTAGGTGTTTGAATAGATACATGCTATATGAATATAACTGGATTCTGTTTACAGCACTGGCTCCTGAATCCAGCTTCCTGCTAATGCAGACTTGGGGAGGGGTGAGGTGGAGAGCAGAAGTGATAGCTCAAGTAATTGAGTACCTGATTTGAGTTCTCAGCTACCAGCTTTGACTTAGGTGAATCTCAGCCATTGTGGACATTTGGGGAGTGAACTGGAAGATGGAAACGACCTCCTTCCTTCCCCCACTCCCTTCCCTTTCTCTCTCCTATATGATAAATAAATACCTACTAACCCCTTAACCTATGTGATTACCCTGGGACCCAATTTTACCCACCAGTGCTGATAGACAAGTACCATTTGCACCATGGTTCTGAGTGTCGCTGATTGTGAATACATGAAGATCCTTCTTCTTGGTAGTTTATACCCCTCTTTCCCTATCCCTCCAGCTATGCTTACATTTTTCATTGACATAGATAGACTGACTCAGTCCCCTGTGTCTCTTACAAGCCTGTCCTCCAACCTTTGTCCAAAATACTGCCGCTTTCAGCATATTCTAGTATCAAAGCCCCTGAGCATTTGAGATCTTTGTCTTTGGATTCCTAATCTGCCCTGTGTGTGCCCGGGACCCAACAATGAGGGCATCTGTTGCCAGTCTAATATTAGTAACAAACACAAGTCACATCATCTTGTATAAAGAGAACATTGAGGGAGAAACATTTGGTCACTAGCAGAGACATGTCAGCCGCAAACAAGGAGTCCTGTCAAAGATGGGGCTGCTCTGCATGGGAGGGGAGGAAAAGGAGAAGACTCTCCCTGAGTCCTGTCACAGGAAGATGAAGTACATTCTGCACAACTCCTAATCTCTCTGGTTCAGGCAGAGAGGGCCACTGGGATGCTGGGAAGAGGACAGAGGACCGAGAGTGTCTGTGCCTTTTGCACAGGGTTTGTCCCACAAATGTGCCCAGAACAACTCACCGTCATCAAAACCGCTCTTGGGCTACATGACAGAAAATTCCAAGTGTCTCCTACTCTTTCTATTAGTGCCCAGAGTAGAGAGATCATTTAGGTCAAGCTGCTGTTGCTTAGCGAAGCTTCATGTTTCAAATGGGCTGTTCAAAGTGTAAAGTGTGCCTCAGGGATCCATGAGCCAATTCAGGACTCTGGAAGTGTTTGCTTTAGATTTTTACGTTTCTTGAATTATCTGCCAACATTGAAGAATCTGATTAGTTCTCATAAAATTTCACCTTTGCGGAAAGAGGTGAGATGGTTCCCATTTCAAGAAAACCCAAGCTCTTCCTGCAGAAGAACTCAGGACCATCAGCACAGTGACCAAGTGGGAGAGACAGAGCCACCCAGCACGGCCCGATGGTGTGACCTGCAGCAAAGAGAAACAGAAATGTTCACCAAGGAGCTGGCACAGAGCCCTGTCACGTGACCAGCTTGCCGGAATGAAGACTGGGGAGTGGTGGGGGTGGGGAGAGAATGTGTCCTCTTTGTGCCCCCTTATATTTCTCTTTAGAAAACATGTCATTACTTTCACTGGCTGTAGCTGAGGAAACTAAACTCCCATGCTCCCCTGCAGCCTGACTCTGCAGTCCAGTTGCTGGGTGTGTGTGTTTGTAAACATTGATTTCATAAGACTGCCACCTGTGGAATTTATATCCCAGCCCATTTTGTACCCCAGCCCATTAAGACAAAATTTCTGAAGGCTGGAGAGTGGGCAGCAAGGCAGTGATGTGCTTCAAGTATGATTTCAGTGGATGAAGAAAGAGTGCTAGAAGTAGCTCTAGCTCTCACTAGAGCAGTGCATCTCAAACCTGAATTTGCCTTGGATCATCTGCAATCTAGACGCCAAGTCATGGGTCTGGGTTGCAGTTTGAGCCGTGTTTTTAACAAGCTTGTAGGGTGCCTGAGACACACCATTTGACAAGAAGCTAGAGCTCTACGTCTGTAACCTCTAAGCCTAAAAGTAACAACAAGTAATAAATAATAATACCACTATTAAAACAATAATAATAAAATATCAACAATAGCTTCACTTGTGTGTTCTCTCTGATAAACACTATGCTAAAGTAACACCTCCTAAGGTTTTATGTATCTATGTGTATATGAATGTATGTATGTATTTGAAAAGCAGAGTGATAGACACAAAGAAATTCCTCCATCTACTTGTTCACTCCCCAAATTCTTAAACAACTGGTACTGGGTCAGGCTGACTCCAGGAGGCAGGAAGTCTACTGGGGTCTCTGACACGGATGGCAGGAACCTGGCTCTGGGTCTGGTCCAGCTTTCTCTTAATGTACTTTGGAGGTGGTAGATTATGGCCTCAGCACTTCAGCTCCTGTCACCCACGTGGGAAACCTGGATGTAGTTCCAGGCTCCAGATTTCATTTTAGCTCAGCCCCAGCTGTTCAGGCATTTGGCAGTCAGTGGATAGAAGATCTCTCTTTCTCTCCCTCTCCCCGCCCTCTCTCTCTTCCTTTTCTCCCCTCCCTCCCTTTTCTTCACTCTGTGTTTCAAGTACATGAAAATAAAAAAATTTTAAGGGAAAACCCAAATAGTTTCTGGTAGAGCTGAGGTGAAGCTATCACTGCGTTACTCTGCATACTAAGTTCTTGAAAGAGGCAATGAATGAGGCACACAGAGTGACAGCTGAAGTTTTCAGCTATGGTAGGCTGGCCACAATGTGTCCTCATCACATTAGTCCCCTCTTCTTACCTTTCTCCTTGTCTCCAGTGTGAACATCACTCATTTATTTCAATTTGTGCTATTTATTTGATAAGCTGATAGAGAGAGGGAAAGAGACACGCAGAACTCCCATCTGTTAGTTCACTTCCCAAATGTCCTGAATGGAATTAACAACTAATTCTCATTGACCAGATGGCTTAAACAACACACATTCACTTCACACAGTAGTGGGGTGCTGGAAGTCTGGGGCCGGGGTGCCACTATGCTAAGTCTTGATGAAGGCCCTCTTTTTGGTTTATAATAGCCACTTTCTTGGTGTAGTCTCAGGGCAGGGAGAGAATTCTTGTCCTTTGTGTCTCTTATGGCCTTAATCCCATTCATGAAGGTTCCGTACATGGAGCCTATCCACTTCT